TCTCTTGTTCAAGAGTGGCTTGACCTGGGGAATGCGGCACCTGTAGCCCATTTCCTGCACACGCCTGTGCACGGTGGCTCTGGATGTTTCTACTCCAGACTCAGTCCACTGCTTCCGCAGGTCCCCCAAGGTCTGGAATCGGCCCTTCTCCACAATCCTCCTCAGGGTCCGGTCACCTCTTCTCGTTGTGCAGCGTTTTCTGCCACACTTTTCCCTTCCCACAGACTTCCCACTGAGGTGCCTTGATACAGCACTCTGGGAACAGCCTATTCGTTCAGCAATTTCTTTCTGTGTCTTACCCTCTTGCCTGAGGGTGTCAATGATGGCCTTCTGGACAGCAGTCAGGTCGGCAGTCTTACCCATGATTGCGGTTTTGAGTAATGAACAAGGCTGGGAGTTTTTAAAAGCCTCAGGAATCTTTTGCAGGTGTTTAGAGTTACGTCGTTGATTCAGATGGTTAATAGCTTGTTTACAGAACCTTTTCATGATATGCTAATTTTTTGGGACAGGCATTTTGGGTTTTCATGAGCTGTATGCCATAATCATCAGTATTAAAACAATTAAAGACCTGAAATATTTCAGTTGGTGCGCAATGAATCTGAAATATATGAAAGTTTCATTTTTATCATTACATTATGGAAAATAATTACCTTTATCACAATATGCTAATTTTTTTAGAAGGACCTGTATAAATAAAGGTTGAATGAATGAATGAATCAAAGGTTTAAAATCCCTGTTTAAAATCAAAGTGGACAGCTTCAGATAATATTTACAAGGTCCAAAAGAAATATAGTAAACGACAATGTGGTAGAATATAATGGAGCGAGTAGGATGAATTAGTACAAATACCGGTAAGTATAAGGTAGTACTATTATCTTAGTATTAGCTTATTGTTGTACCATGCTTTCTAAAATAGTTATTGAATCAAATATTTACGTATGTAGATAAATGTAGATGTTTAAAAACCTGTTCAAATACACCAGAGTGCAGGAAATTGCATCTACTTTATTCAAAATTTTCTGGGGGAGGACCCCCAGACCGCCCACCAGTGTGTCCTCCCCACATTACAAATGCCTCTGATGCCAATGGCCACAGTGTTGTTCAAGCCAAGAGCCATCTTCAGCACTGGGGGTTAAGCACCCCTAAAGATTAGAGTTTCGTTTTTTTACATTTTCGGTTATTGGTGTGCTTAGTGGGTTATTTTTTGTGTTTTTTTCCAATTAAAAATGTACCTTGGCTCCAAAAAGGTGGAAAAACAAAGTCTCTTTGTCTGCACAAACATATGGTTCATGGGCATTAAAGAGACGTCCTTCAGTTCGAGATAAGGAAGTGTTTTGGGATTCAGTTCAGCTGTTTTAGGAGAAAATCGAGCTCCTTGTTCTCAGGGCAGAGGGGGAAATGTTCACATGCACAGTAATAAAAGCATCCATAACCTTTGAGCAAAACTTCTCTGACACTTTATATTCTTTGATAGCCTTGCCATATAGTATAAAAAGACAAATCACCTATTGTCAAAATATAAGACAATATCAAGCAGAAAGTAGCAATAAGATTTTTCATACACACGAAAAAAAACATACATATTTACATCGTTTCCCTAATGAAATAGAAGGAAATTATTTTGCAGAGAGGTAAAAGTGCTGTTTGACAGTGAATTTGCTCAAAAGATTCAGCATACAACTTGCAATAAACAAAGAATGAACTATTATATTTACCTGTTGTACTACACGTAAGAAATAAAAATGTACATAATGCAATCAGCGCTAAAAGCTAAAGAACAATGGACCTGATTACATGTTATTGATTTCCATTCCTCGTTACTGATTCTGGTTTGTGAAGAATTTCTCAAATCTTTACAAAAGGTGATTGTTGAATAAAGTATCTCCTGACTCAAAATGGTACTTTGAAATTCAAATGTTAGTTTAAAACACTGACACGCTCTTGTCTGTAAAATTATTTGATTGTTGCAAACACGTCAGATCTCCACTTAGTAATAACTGTTTAACAAAAGCCAAACGACGACACACCGGAGACACACGTGTGAATTTTAGTTGTACTTTTCCTTCTCCAGTTGAAGGACGTACATATTTTATGATTTAACTTGTGTTACTAGCTCTGAATAAAACCTTTGGAAGATAACTATTTTGTTTAATTTTATAAGTAGATCCATGACGGGGTTTCCAGAGAACTTTGGTTTTGTCCTTGTGATCCTGTTTGGGTCAAAGCTGAACTCCATCGTACATCACAATTTAGAATGTGCTCTGAACAACTCTCAGCTACAAACACATTTTGGACTGAATTATAAAAACATTCAGAAGGTCAGCTGGCTGTGGCAGCTGCATTGTCTCCAACAGCTAAGTACATCGAGGGATTATTTCCTGAAAGTTTTATTAAAATTCATCAGATGACTCGTGGGATATTTTGCTAACAGACAAACAGGGTTGACTCCAATAACTAATACCAAAAATTTAGGAAACTATCTTTCGCTATCTGTTAACGTTCAGAACTCGTTGGGGCTCAGTCTCAGCTAACAGACCAACGTTTATGTTCTTTTTCTATAAAACTGACTGAGCTATAGTCGCTTGAGTGTTTTTAAAGGTTAGTTGCCTGTGGCAGCCATCTTGAATTGGGATTACTACAAAAGTTAACTAGTTGTTGATGTCCAATCAACTATTAATTTCTGAGTTTCATTAAACTTTGTCTACTGGTTCATATGATACTTTGGTCACAAACACACACAGGCAAACCCATTATTGCAAGCAGGCGATCATCACAACACTGTGGACTCTGACGTCACGTGCGCTGCAGAATGGTGGCACCGACGAGAGCTCTGCTTCGACTCGATCTTTTTTTATTCCTGTAGTTTTTGTTTTAACTTGTTTTTTGTGCCTACAATGCACATCCACTATACGGGTATGATCGTGACACACATGGAGTTTTCTGTGTCGCTGCCTTGCCATCGTGCCGTCATGGCTCAGTCCTTCCAGCCTCGGGCTCAGGCCTGTCATGGCGGCTGTCTCCATGATCCTCCATCTGCCTGCACAGACCAAACTCTACGGACCCGTTCGGTTCCGCGGGGAAACCTTGGATGTTCTCCGTCTGCAGGACCCGGTGTTGGAGGCAGTCTGGGAGACAGCTGCTGCGGTCCTTATTATCATCAAGCTGCTAACAAGAACTGCTAACGCTGCTAAAAAAAGACTACGCCACTAACCGAACGTCACTGCTAACAGTATCATGCTGCAAACTGGACCATGTTCTCACTGCCAGCAGAACCACTCTGCTAATAGGACCATGCTGCTGTACATTTATTTCTTTTTCACTTTTGATCCCGTTTTTGTATTTTTCTTGCATGCTTTGATATTTGATGTTGTTTTTGTGGTGAGTCGAGACGGTTCTTCTTGTCCTGAACATTTCATTGTACACTTGACCTTGTGTTGATTTTACATAAGACAAATAAACTAAACCTGAACGTACCAAGTGGATGGATGGATGGATGGATGGATGGATGGATGGATGGATGGATGGATGGATGGATGGATGGATGGATGGATG